ATCCTATAAAGCTAATGCACCAGATGCACAACAGTCGGTCAGGAACTAAACTAGAAACTAAACCTGGGTGAGGGGGTAGTAAAGGCTTCCCTCTGCAGAGGCCTTCCATGGTGCAGGCTGCTCCGCAGGTAGGAATGCCTGCCTGTACAATGAAAGCACCCTAGGACCAACTGTCACCCACCACATGGACACTGCTCTATTCCTGACCTATCATGTCAAGACAGATGTAAACATCTATTTTTTGTGCTATAACTTTTTTAAAGAAAAAAACTATTTATCATCAGTCACAACTGCATGGAAGCACAGTGTTACCTCCTAGAGCTACAAATTCAGGGAATGAAGAATTCTTGGAAAACTACAATATAAATTTTGAAACTGTTTTAAGCAATTGAATGCACCTCTAATTTCTATCCTGGGAAATCACCAAATCTATTCATTCCATTCAGTCCTACATCAAAATCAATGTGGCATTCTCAGGAGCCATTATGTGTCTCCAGACTACTTCTGATTTCTACCAATGGCATTGGCTTTCTACCCTGACCCTCAGCACAGCACCCTGATAATACCAAGTGCTCTAAAATAGAGGGGTGTTTTGAAGAGCTGTATTTCTGTTTTCCTTGGATGTGTCTGTATTCTCCAGAATGTGTCATGTGAACAGCACATAGTCTCACTTTCCTACAGTTACTTGTTTTTTCCTTTGAATGCTGGATATTGAATCCAGGGCCTTACTCTCAGGCTGAGTACCTTCTCCACCACTGAGCTCCTCCAAATCCTGAGCATGAATGTTTGACCTGGTTGTAAACGAATCATGGTATTATCTTACTATGCTTCAGTTTTTCGTCACATATAAAAAACTTTCTCAAATGCAAATAAATGCTAGTTATTTTTCTATAAACCTTTTCTTGTCTCTTTAAAGTCTTCACATCAGGCCATAGTCTCATTTTCTAAATGCAGCTAAGAAGCTTAAATAAAATAAAAAATGTCCCCAGGATATGTGGACCTACTGATCTTTTAAAGTGCAGTGGTAAATTACTGCTTATGACGATGTAACATACTGTTTTAAGTGAAAAAATGCAGTAATATGTAAAGTGGACAAATCCTACTATTCGTCTCAGTGGTTATTCACAAATAAAGTAATTATGTACAAATCAGATCAATAACTAGAAAGTTATCATGCCCTTCCTTTATCCCCAATCCCTATCCCAAAGGTAACCACTGCTCTGACTTCTGTCATCATAAGTTAGTTTTGTCTGCATTTGAATTTTATATTAATTGACTCATACAGTATGTCCACATTGGGTCTGGCTTCTTTCAGTCAGCATTATATTTGTGAGATCATCCACTTCTGTTTTAATGGCCTTCACAGCTGTTTAAAAAAAAGTAAGAGGAAGAACCTTGCTTCCTCTACTGCCCCGTTAAAACTACATCACTCAGAACAGCGAATGAATAAGTGCCTGTCTGACCTTGGGCAAGTCACTTAACCTCTCAATTTCTCATCTGTAAAGAAAGGATAACACTGTCTTTGCCTGCCTTAAAAGATTGCTAGAGACAAATGTTATAAATTAGAAGAAAGCGCTTCAAAATATGCAATGAAGAACTGTATGAGTATGTTATTATTATTATCACTCCTTTTTTTCTCTCTAGAGTAAATTACAGGTGAGCGTGGATTTATATAACAGATGTATTCATGTAAGGTTTTCTATGAATCAGGTTTTCATAAATCAACCTATTTCAAGTGTGCTGGGCAATTTCATTCCTTTAAGCAATTCTTTTCAGGGTCTTTTGTAAAGCAATATAACTCTATAATTTCTTTTCCCAGCAACTGAATTTGTATATTTTATACTTCCTTGTTAAGGTAAATGGTTCCTGTACGTTTTAACCTATCTCAAATGGAGAGGAGAATCCTGGAGAAACCATTGAATTTTCATTTGTTTTTGTTTGTTTGGGTTTGGGCTTTTTGAGACAAGGACTTTCCACGTAGACCAGGCTGGCCTGGAACTCACTTTTTCACTCAGGCTGACTTCAGACTCATGGTACTCCTGCCTCAGCTGCCTGAATGCTGGGATCATGTCCAGCATTTTTAACTGTAATTTTTATGAGGCGAGATCTCTCTTGGAATTTTTCTTCCAAATATTGTGCATTTGAGTGCACGTACATACATGTGCTTTAACTTGAAGTCTGGCAGGAGAAAAGTGCCCTGTCATTATTTCTAGGCCTGCAAGTACGTGTGACTCTAGATTGTGACCTCTTTACAGATCCACAGACTATCAATAGTGATTGCTGTTTTACATATTTTGTTACATTATGAGAAGCAAGTGAAATATTGACATGAAATGTTTTATGAACCACAAAGAATTCTATCCATGAACAGTGTTACTGTTAAGACAAATGTCAAGTGGTGTAACTCGGTATGCAGAAAGTCTATGAAAAGGCTGTAGAGGAATATTTGAAAATGTCAGTTAAATACTACAGTCGGGAGTCGCTGGCTTGGGCCTCTTTGCTGCTGTGACTGAGCCCTCTGTATATCACATCGCATTATCAATTTTTCACGACATGCCACTTCTCGTCCACCGGTTAAGACAAGCACAACATGTTTGCCACCTGCTGCCTTGGGTTGTCCAAAAGCACTGGCTCAGATGCGAGTCCTAAGGACTTTTATGACTTTCAAACGTCTCCAATTGTGAAATGAAGAAGCTAAAATTGCCAGCCTACAAAACTTTATGAGTGTGTCAGGTATGGAATTAGTTTTCATAATCCAGGATGGAGCGTTTATACCACAGAAATAACCATCTGAAGATTAGCAGCATGTATGATACAAAAACAAGAAAATCTGTAGCTCCAGCTCTTCTACTTCTACTTAATCCCACTGAGCATCTATTCTGTAAATGTGACCTTTGGGTTTTCTGAGACGCTCAGCGGGAGATTTTTTTTTTTTTTTTTAAGACAAAATCTGGAACTTAAATAAATTTAACTCCATGTAAATAAGAGCAGACCTCCTCTGTCTTATAAAACCAGACACAAGAATACAGCTGAGGTCTGTTCACAACTGGACAACTGGAAGCACTCAGGGTCATCTTCTAGCACCCGGGATCCCTGCATCTTAGTCTTCCAAGCCTTTAGAATTTTTAAACAGTTGTTAAAATAGCATTTTAAGGCATCTTTCCTTTAAATACCCTTGTTGGTTTTATTTTCCTTGACAGGTGTAGAAGCTCTTTAAAACACAAACGATACATAGTACTTTTAAAAGTCTACTAACCAGTACCTGTTTCCTGGATATTATTTTTGATCTAAGCATCTGTAGCTGAAGTTTACTAGACACTGTCATTTCCCTCCCAGAACTCCGCCTTCATTGTCCTTCCCCCAAATTGTATGCAAACTCTACAACATATTTATTCTTTACTTTATCATAAAAATACTTACACTTTTTACTCTTCTTTAATGGCTTCTAGAAATTCAAGAAGAGTTGTTCATTAAAAATAAATTTGGACTTGTGTCTGAAGAATTTATAAATATTTTGATTTGTTTTAATTTTTCTAATAAACACACCATTGAGTCCAATGAATGCAATGTTGTTGAAAATGTAAGCAAGTAATATAAATAGAGAAGTTTCTGCTTCATTTAAAATAAAACTGAAGCCGGGCATGGTGGCGCACCTTTAATCCCAGCACTCGGGAGGCAGAGGCAGGTGGATCTCTGTGAGTTCAAGGTCAGCCTGGTCTACATAGTGAGTTCCAGGCCATCTGGGGCTACAAGGAGACTCTGTCTCAAAAAGACCCCCCCGCCCGCCAAAAATTGAAATACTCAACATTTGTAAACTTGCTTAATATATCTTCCGTTCTAATGGCCTGCTGTGCACAGAACTGACAAACTAATGGGTTTACCAAATTGACCTTTGATGGCCGCCCACTCTTCTTGGTCGGTAGATTGTAGACACTAGAGATGACAGCA